TGATTATTATTTTCTTAATTTAACGCAAGCTATGGCTTATTTCCGGCGATAATTCTGCAAGTTTCTGTACCTAACTTTTTCTTCGGGCTTTTTGAAAAAAATTATTCATTATCAGTAACATTGTTGACAGTTATTAAACTACGAATTTTTATACCAATACCAAATTACGATCACTTCTCGTTTATTCTCTGTTACATTACCTTTTCGTTCACACGTTATTTGAAAAGGAAATTTACAAATTCGTAAAAAGGAATTTACAAAAATGTAAATGCGCATTCGTCTTTTTACGTTACACATAATTTGCCTACATTTACGTTTCATTCATTAATCTCTTTAAGTAACAAACGACAGATGATAAAAAGTATGATTTTATTTGTTACGTCTTGTTTATTTGCTATTATTATACGCGGTTTCCTGCGATGCATGGTGACCTACTTGTTCGGAGCTTCGTAGTACAAGCGTAGCGCGTAGCCACCGCTAGCGCGGGAACTCGGCTGGCAAACTCGCGCTCTGATTGGTCGCGGTTTTTCGTTAATATCTCGTTAACGAAGCCTCAGTTTACATTGTTGCTAAGGAAAAAGTTGTTCGAATTCACCCCCCGAGTGCCCCATTTCCGGGTCGGAGGACATTTTTGGGACACCCTGTATACAGTGGATTCCGCTTATTTCAGCCACCGATTAATCGAAGTAGCCGTTTATTTAGGGCAAAGCTCATAGAACAAAATCTAATCGAATCTACTGTATTTACCTATGTGATATTTCCATAATGGGGACAACCGCTTAATCGGGTCAAGGGACGCTAGTCCCAATGTGTTACACATACCCGGAATCCACTGTACTATATCAAAGGGATTGTCTATGGGGTGCATTATACTAATATAGACCTTCCGTTTGCAGATTCTTCCGTAACCGAACGCGGGGAGGAGTGCGTAGAGAGGGCGCCAGCCTGGGTCCCGGACAACGACGCGCCAAGGTGCATGGCCTGTCAGGCGGGCTTCACCGTGGTGCGACGCAGACACCATTGCAGAAACTGTGGCAAAGTATTCTGCGGCCGTTGCAGCAGCAACAACGTGCCCCTGCCGCGTTTCGGGCACACGAAACCCGTGAGGGTGTGCAACAGGTGTTTCCTCTATCAGGTGACGCCGTTCACGGTCTCCCAAATAACGTCTGCGAGCTGAACATTACTGGAACGAGGTATAATATAGGGAAATTGTCGTTTTTTTTTCTCTCTCTCTCTTCGTCGAATACTACCTTCTTGTTAATATTACTCGGACGGTTTAGCCGTGTACTCGGACGGGGGTTCGATTGCCCGTTTCTTTCTTCTAATAGGAATACGTTGTTTCGGAGCTCGTCTCTTTTAGTTGAAACGTTAACATGTAGACGCATATACGTGTAAAGTATACATACGCGTGTACAGATTATATTAAAATCTAGCGGTGACTGTATTGTTTCTGTTTTCTTTTACGAATTCGAGCATGATTTAAATGTCTCGTGACAAGGAGAATTTGAGGAGCGGTGATGTAAACGAACTGGAGGACACGTAAATTCTTTTTTTCTTTGGCCGTTTAATTTACACAAATTCGAATACGAAATGAATTGTATATTAGATATCTTCAATTTCCAAAATTAGAGTTTTTGAAAATTATTTTTTTGTACATGAACTAACCCGTGTCTTGTGCATAATTATAATCGCCATGGTTTTATTACTTGACGATTACTGACAAAGTTCTGTCACCAGTATTCTCCTTATAATAAACACGATTGATACTATTGAAGATTTGAATAGATCTGTAAAATATTAGTATAAATAAATTGACTTTTCTAGTGTTTGCTGTACTGTAAATAAATTCCTTTTCTTGTGACTAAAACTAAGCAATTTTAACGCTTGATGAAATAAAGAACAAAATTTATCAATTTAAAAGTTATTATATGTAGGAGTAATTAATTTGAAAAATTGACAGGCGAATGCTAGAAGAGTGATTATTATTAGAGATGCTTACATTTGAACGTTCGACGAGTAGAAAAAATCGTGTCTCTTTTTGCCTCCACTTGACCAACATTATCTGAAGTTCCAGTTGGAGCAGACTTTCGTAAACTGTTCCTCGTTATAAACCGATCAGACAGTTAAGCTCAATAAAAATCGAATCACTACAGACACTGCTACGATCGTTGTTTGCGTTGATCTGTATACATACGCGTACTTGAATCGTAAAATTAATATTCGTCGGCGACGATCGCTAATATTTTTACACATCGTGATCGAGCGGTTTTTAATCGAGCTGAATTCCAAACCAGTTGTATCATAGTTTGAATCTTGCGAATCTTGGAATTTGTACTAGAAAAAAAAACGATAAAAAAATGAAGATACGCAGTTGTTGATTAGACGATATATTGTACAGAAATTTCTTTACATTGTATATCGAGTTCTGTGTTTATCATTTGTGTCAATTCTCTTCGTCGACGTTCCGTTTATATTTTATTTTTCTCCTTATCTTCCGTTAGGTGTGTTCATTTGCTATAAGCAATCGAGATTCCACTTTTCTGGCGTCGTTGCTTTACTAAGACGAGAATGAATGAATTTGTTTATACAGTTAGTATCGTCAAATATAGGTAGGACTAAAATTAATTTAGAAAATGCGTACAAGTATTTCCGTATTTGTTCTGGTTTCTATGTTACATTCCTTTTGGCGATCCTGTCATCTGTCTTGCTAATTGAACAGGTACACGACGATTAACAACAAACAGACGAGCAATATTTTTTAGGACTGATCACAGGGTATCTCGGAAAAAGATGATAATAAAAATAAAAAGTAACAAATTTTCTGTATGTCCACTATATTTTCCCTTACGCATTGTTCGATTTGCCGTCAAAGTGATAAATGGCGTCTATTGTAATATGTATATGTGGTAACAATAACTATATGATTAAATATGCGATTTTGACACAACATCGACGGAATATTTTTTATTTTATTCGACCTACCCTACCACTTCCCGTAAGGAGACCATCTTTTTCCGGAACACCCTGTATATAAAAAAAGCTGGTAATTTCGATTGTTTATCAAGGCAAAATTTTTGAATGATAAAATGTGTCTGTGATAGCAAAGAAGAAGGTTCTTCCATTTCGGTTTTATCAATTTTTTTTATCATTTAATTCTTAACCGGGAAAGCACCACCTTAGTGTACGTTATACACTCCCATTATAAATAGATGTTCTCCTATCGAAGAAAAGTTTACTTTTTTCCATGTTACATTTCATTCTACGACTTCTCATTAAATGATCTTGGATTTTTGAAATTAGGTATTTTGAAAAATTTGGCACATTTTTTAATGAAGTCAATGGATGGACAAATACTTATATTAGTACATGACTTAGGAGAGAAAGATTGTCGACTGCCCGAATAGCTTAGGGGTCAAAGCAACATTCTTTTTATATTACATTATCCTGTCTATATTTTTGGTACGCCCTGTCTAAACATGCTCTTAGTATTTTCCCGAGGTTCAGATATGTTCATTTCGTAAAAAGAAGAAATAAAAACCATCTCGGACACGTATATAAACTGAATAGTTACGAGAGCTGAAGAATGTTCCGTTGCGAAATAGAGACATTTGGATTTATATGTGTATACATATGTACGTACACACAGCACACATATACATACATACATACATACATATACATACATATACACACATATCTGGGATTGGGAACTCCATACCCAAGAAAGGAGCAAATAATATCTTGGGAAAATAGGAGGGTTCCGTGGAGTAGTGGGTAGAGTCTCTGCTTTCTCTGCTTTCGGTGCCGGGGGTCGTGAGTTCGAATCCCGCTTGGGCCCTCTCATTTTTCCAACGCTCCTACACATATACATACGTATACGTACATATACATACATATACATATGTATTTAATTTTGGAATATACTCTTTTTAATTGAAGCGCAAAAATCTTAAATAATATGGTTAACGAAGGAAACGATTTTACGGGTTACTGTCGACAATTCCGCGCGAAGGGCATGTATCGCAGACTGAGAACAATACTTGCGTGATGTCAGACTCCAACTGTATCAAACGTTTGCTCAGCGATAATGATTGAAGTGATTTCTAAATTTTTTAATAATAACTAGCGAGGACAGTTACGTAGGGAACGTGTAATCGTATTATAATCATGACCATCGTTTCGTCGAATCGCTTATATGCACCGTGTGTCCGAAATCGTGTAACAATCAGGGTAGGAGGTGATACCTTGTACAAAACTAACAAGGAAGGGTCACAAACGGTTCGGCTCCGATTTGAATGACATTGTAAGTTTGAAGAACAGTTAAAAGCAGTAAGTAGATAAATTTTTTTTAGTTGTAGTAAATCAAGTTTAAAATGGGTGAAACCACCCCTCAAAATTGGATCCCCCGAAAGCTAACTCAGAAGCGGTTAAAGATAAAAAAAATTTGAACAGAAAGGAAATGGTTTTTGCCATCTTAGAAGAAAAAAAAATAAACCGCTCCTGGGAAGGGAAATGAAATTTCAGTCAGCAGCGAAAACGTTAGTTAGTATTTGTACCACTTGAGGCCCAAAAGTTTCACTGGGTTCCTTAACCCCTTGCCGTGCCATTTAGCTCGACGAAACTCGGGCCCAAGTGTTACGCGTCAACGCGTGGTAAACAGATCAGACTAATGCGCGAGAAAGGTCACAATACGAGCCGAAATGTAAATGCCTCTGATGTAGACACTTTTGCACGATACTGCTGTTGTGGAAATAAACTCTAATACCTTTTGTATTTTTTATTTATTTATAATCGATTCATTACATTATAATTATTATACTATATTATATTTTGTAATCGATAACAGTTACAAAATTATATTTCACGAATTCAATAGAACAGTTTAACAGTTCAACAGAAATCCTTGCATCTTCAACTGTGGGTTTGTTCCAAGGAATGTAATAATACCACGGTTAAAAATAAAACTTCAATTGTAATGAATATTCATCTTGAATCAATATCTAATAAGAAAATACTAACAAGTCTAAAAATCCTCCTTGGTATGATACTTCCTAAAACACTCTGGCAGATGTAAAGCTACTTCACATTTCGCACACTCCCACTTCGTTTCGCTTCGTATTTTATGCTTATAACAAACTTTGCACATCCTTGTTGGGTGCTTTTTTCGAGCCGTCGAATCGATAGTTTTTGGGAAATGAGCCCAATATTGTGCTTGAAGTCGAAGAGGTTCAATTGATGTAGATTTTCCACGCGTTTTGTAATCCGGTAATCGGACATTTTGTAAAATTGTTTCTGCTATTTTTACTCGGTATTGAACATAACTCTCCTTTTTTTGGACCGTGCATAATTTTATGCATAATATAGGTATTGAATAGGGCCATATCTGACATGTAAAAGAAAAGCTTTCGGTATCCTTTGATGGCTTTTCTCATGATTGGGAAAGAGGATAACATCTGATCTTGATTGATGATCAACTGCACCCATACCTTTGTTATATTCCACGATACAATTAGGCTTCATTACTTTCTGTAATTTTTTGTCCGATTGCTCAACCATCTCTACACTTTCGTGTTTCGTTGATATCATATACACGTCGCGCTTGTCTTTCCATCTCAGAGCTATCAAATTATTGCAACTCCTCCATACACATTCTCCTTTTTTCAAAACAGGCTTTTGAATATCCCCTGGCATATTTTTTCTATTTTTGCGTACTGTCCCGATAACATTTGTCCTTTTCTGGTTTAATTTTAAAAAAAGGTCGGGTGAAGAGTACCAGTTATCCAGAATCAAAGTATATCCCTTGTTTATTATTGATTTTGACAAATCCATCACAACGTTCTGCGACGCACTATCATTTACATTAATTTTGTCCTGGCCGGTATATATTTTGAATTTATGACAGAAACCGGTACTTGCCTCGCACAATTTATAAATTTTTAATCCAAATCGAGCTCTTTTCGACGGATTGTATTGTTTGTATGCTAAACGCCCTTTATATTTCATCAAGGATTCGTCAATGCTGATATATTCACTGGGTGTGTAAATTTCTTTAAATTTTTCATTCCAGAGGTTGATGATAGGTCTTACCTTTCGAAGTCGGTCATTTCTATCAGAAGTTTCATTATTAGAGAAGTGTAAAAATCTCGAAACTTGCCGAAATCTCTTAAATGGCATTGTTTTTCGAAATATTGGCGTTTCTATTACTGCTCTTGTAGTCCAATACTGTTGTATATTTGATTTTTTTACTTGACTCATCAAAATACATAATGCATAGTAGGCCTTTATTTCATCTAAGGTAACAGGATACCAATTGTCGTCCACTTTCCGTCTTTTACACTCGTCGTTCATTTCTTGGTATGCGAAGCGATTTGTTTCCGTAATAATTATATCCCACAGTTTGTTATCAAATATAATAGAAAATAGTTCTAATATTGTTGGATCCTTGCTTAAATTAGTAAGAACAGACGCTTTTATACCATGAGTCTCAGAATACGTCCAAACTATTGGTGTGTTTTTTTTCTCCTGCCAAATCCATGATTGACGCGTCGTACCTTCCTCTTCACTACTATCTTCTATAATCATACGCCTTGGACGCTTTCTGGTTAGCGGAAGAACATCACTATCACTAGATTCATTATCACTGCTTTCACTTAAACCTCTTTTATTTTGCATTTTGTAAGGGTTTATTATTAAATTTCAATATAATAATATAAACTACTTTGTAACAGCAATTATGAGACTCGTGACTAACTCTGGTGGCGTACTGATAGAAACTAACATTCAATCACGACCCAGGCTCGTGATGTTTATGTTTGATCCGACTATCTGTACACGACCTCGGCTCGTGATGTTTACGTTTGGCCCGACGATCTATTCACGAGCCTGGCTCATCATATTCATGTTTCGGCCAAAATTTTCATCACGAGTCAGACTCGTTAAAGCACGGCAAGGGGTTAAGTACGATTAAAAGAGGAGACATGAGTTTTACTGCTGCAGAAGTTACAGGCATGATTGTACAGCTATGTGTTATTGTCGAGATCGCTGAACAACTGCTTCAACCGTTGTTACACCTTGAAATGCTAACGTATGACTGGAATGTAGTTCAAGATTAAAGCTGCTTTCGTTAGCATTATAAACGTGTTCTAAGCCACCAGCTTCAGTTATATGTTTAATCCATTGATAGTCGTCTGACACAATCCTATTTAGGGTGCGAGCAGCAACATTTGTAGTAACGGGACCAGGACGCTCTATTAACTCCTTGGCCTATTGAGGATTGGTAACAAGAACTCCCATGACCTTGCTTAGGTATTTATTTAGACAGAATCCTGCCACTTGCAGATTCTGTCTAACCGGTTTGGTGTACATAAACATTGTTGGATCTTTACGTCAACTGTGTTATAACGATTAAGTAGGGCAGTACAAGTGATAATTCTGTCGATCAAATTCTTATTGCTGAGTTTGTGAGGCATCTAAACGTCGAGTTTGGAAACCATATTTAGTTGGCGCAAATTACCTAAAACAGTTTTGTGGTCAACACTTAATCGTTCCGCTAACTTTCGCGAAGTTTGGTGTGGATCTTCCTCAATCAGTTGCTTCGAAATGCTGTTACCAACTTTCAGTGGTCTGTCTGATCAAGGTTTATCGCATAGATCAAAATCTCCGGAAAGAAATTTACTAAACCAGTTTTGACATGTGCGTTCAGTTACCACATCAGCACCAAACGCTTCGTATATATTTTTTGCGCATGTTACCGCATTAACGCCTTTTTTAAATTCGTACAACATTATTGAACGAAAACACACTTTTTCACTCTCCATTGTTTCTCTATGAAATCTGAATATACAATTGCGTTTCTTATAATATGAGCTCCTATATATAGTAAGTGATCCCCTCTTTTTTCTACAATTACGTTACATCTAAATTCAAACGAAAAACGTTACCAACCCAATAGATTGAATCCGCTTTCAGCAGCATTGAATGTATTGTTTGTTCCGATATCTCTAACACGAGGTTTTACATTATTAACAAAAGTCGAAGCAATTTCATTTAACTGTGTGGTACATGTACCGTATGATCGGGTAATATAAATTTGTTTACTTTTCTTGAAACTATTTTATACGTTTGTAACCGTAATTTTTCTCTCTTGTCGTTTTGGTCGACTCTAAGAGCATACCCCCCCCCCCCCCCCCCGTAATCGCGATACTGTCGTCACTTATGTAACCGTACCATATCAGCTGACTCTACCACGGGATGAGATATGTTCTTTCCTGAAGGCCGGTTACCTTCCCTTGACGGATCAACCCGGTAAATTCCCGTGCTATCGCGTAAAGGTGAGGTTCGAGTCTCCAATACCTGGAGGACGGAAGTGGTGGTGTGAATGTGTCAGAAAATGATAGATTTTGATCTGGTAGAAATGATATATATTCTATTATTAGCGGTGGGTTACAATTCCCGATGCAGTCGCGCTTGTCGGACGTTCGTCCACGATGGGCGCTGTGCTACTCACACCGACGCGCCCATTACACGGTGTCTTTGCCAAAGTATTGTGGGTGGAAATTGCATGCGTGAATTTACTTCGTAGTGTGTAGAAATCTGTCCCACCAACTAATGATCCTGCCACAATCTGGAAGGATTTCTTGGATGGAGACACGTGCTAAACCTCGGTCGGTCAGCAGCACCTAAGACTTCGGCTCGAGGCACGATTTCGTGAGCTCAGAGCTTCCATCCGTTACTGGTAGAAAAACTTCGGTTGCCCTCAATCTAGAACACTCTTATGGGGCTGCAATGTTTCCCCGATGCATCTGTCGCAGCAACCAATAATCCTGCCAATAAATTGGGATGACGTCTTGGATGGAGACGCGTGCTAAACCTCGGTCGGTCAGCAGCACCTAAGACTTTGGCTAGAGGCACGATTCCGGGAGCTCAGAGCTTCCATCCGGTACTGGTAGAAAAACCTTGATTGCACTTCCGCTCTACGCTTCGTCACGAGTAATCAATCCTTGTGGGGACTGGTTACTCGTGCTCAAATTCTAGCACGAAACGTTGGCAAAGAATTACCTACTTAGCTTACTTACTCTAGCGTTAGACGAGACGTATGTGTTTGAAACAAAATTTAATGAAACTCGACGTTCAGCGTCGTCACAAATATATACGTTAATACGACGTGGTCTAGCGCCCAAACGGCGCGAGCGACTCAAGCAGCAGGATCACGATATTACCTCTCACGTTAACACGTATTGAGTCGGTGACTACCTGGCTTCTCTGGTTTTAACCCAGATATGCTTGATTCTCGCAGTTATGTGTTGGCTGATTTGTAAGTAATTTTCTGTGGCTTTGAGTTGAATTTATAGTTATGTTATGAACGGTAAATATATCAAGAAAAGCGGGTGACTGCTACGCTGTCGCTTCCAGCAGGTGATAAGTGTGTTAATCACGTATAGTCACAGTTACAATACGGTTGCTACACGGACTCTGCTGCTTGAGACGCGCACGCGGAAAAGACACACGAGCCGGTTACTATTCAGGTCTTCGTAACTCGCCTAACGGACTCTACTACAGAAGAACACCTAAACTGCATCGCGTCCAGACGTAGAGTGAAGATCGACAGCCGCGTATCGACCTCCTTCGATCGTGATTTAGTGGGGGCATGGTGCGCACGCATCCTCCGTTATCACGTGGTACCTATGCTGCTCAGGTCTCATCGCCCGTATCTCACGTATCGTCGCGTATCGATGTTGGTGGGGAGTATTCCCCTTACTCGCGCCTATCCTACCCCTCTCATACTTCGGGCTATACGTAAATGTACGGTTACACGTTCTCTTAAAATTCCAGATCCATTATTGGGATGCTTTAAAATTTTCCCAACCTGTCTCTTCATTAGCTTCTAAGGACCATCTTCGAAGGTCCAAACCATGAATAATGACATGAGTTTCAATCCCGTCAACAAACTGATACACATATTCAGAAATTTGTAACAATTTTTCTCGTGGTGTCCCTTCTCTGTTCACCGTTTCTTCCCATCTAATGAAAACAAGGCAATTTTTCATAGATATAAAACAAATAGATACAAAGCACCTTCACATAACAATACCTACACCGTTTGCCATTCATCTAAACAATTGTTGTAGGGATGAAATTTTTCGAAATTTATGTCCGACAGATTGTACAGAAAGCCGCTTCTTCTTAGCACTCTTCCAAAATGCAGCAGCACTTGTTTTACATTCTAAAGTCACGATACCTCCTTCTTCTGGTACACACTCCTCTTCTTCAAATCCTATCGGTTCTAAAAGTTCTTCGCGTGTATGTACATACATGCCGTATATATCATCCAGAAATTCTACAGAATGTGGTCTAAACGATTTCAAAAATTTTAATGTAACATTAGTTTTCAGTGAAAATGAAGTGTCTTCTTGCGATTTAATAAGCATATATTTTATTATGTCATGTAACTCCATTTCTCTATTATAAATAGGCGTCTCATTATTGTTTTCAATTAGGAATGTTGTCATAAGTAAATGAATAATATTTGCAGGATTTATGGAAACCATTTTCATCACTACACGTTCGTTACACAGAATCAACGTACATTTACTGTCAACACCTATAGTAAACTACACATAAACAAGTATTTCTTATTGTTAATGAGTCTTTACTCTTCAAATGCCTTCGATACTACTGACAATAATAACGAGTCGAAGCATTTATTACTTTGTCGTTAGTTACGGCGAAACCTATAGAACTGATAATACCTATATCTTATACATATGTGTACATACGTATGTTATTATATGTATGTATGGATGTTTACCACGTCTGGAGAAAATATGTTTGTACAGTGAAATGTCTTACTAACAATTTATTTTAATGTGAAACATTAATTGTCAATAAATGAATTTTAAAAAACATTGATATTTTTGATTATAAATTTTTCCTAATTGTTCAAACAATTGAGAAATCTTTTACCATTCGATAAATTTAATTAAAAGAAGTAACTTTTGTGTTGAAACTTTTTTTATCCCTTACAGTTCGCGACTTATAACACAAAATCGGAACATTGCCGAATTTTCAGGGGTTAATTTCACCCCCTTAGAGTGAATTTGGGCAGCAAACAAAAACATGTTCACAAAGTTTTAGAATCTTTTGAATTTGCGGGTTCGGGATGTTCTCTTTAAGAGATCTACTGTTCTATTGTTCTACTGTTCTACTGACAAGGAAACATACCGAACTATCCATCTCTGATTTCGATGAAACTTGGTGAATATAGTAAGCAGGTGAAAATAAGGGACACGTTTTTTTTTATAACTGCCCAATCGCAAGTTTTGGGGGTGAAATCACCCCTTGAAGTTACAGCAGAAAAATTATATCTCGAAAACTTCTTAAGAAAAAGTTTCACGGTTTCTTGAGATAAAACAAAAAGTGGTCACAGATTTTATAAAAAGTAATTTGTTTATAACAAAAAAATGTATTGTTACATTATTTTAAGAGATACCAAAATTTACATAATGACAGGAAAGAACCGAAATTTTTTTCTGAATCCATTGATATACAGGGTGTCCCAAAAATGTCCTCCGACCCGGAAATGGGGCACACGGGGGGTGAATTGGAACAACTTTTTCCTTAGCAACAATGTAATCTGAGGCTTCGTTACCGACATATTAACGAAAAACCGCGAC